AGAATTTGGTGGAATTCAATATTTTCTCAATGTGATTTTGATTTATCCAAACTCCCGGTGAAACTACAGTATCAACATTCCATCAACAAGTTCTCTTATTCTGGAAATTGGCATACCTACACACAATTTTACACCTGTTTCAATTTGGAACAACAAATACTATATATTGCACAGGAACAAACCTTTATGCTTTAAGAATTGGCTGAGCAGAATATGGTCAGTGAGGGATCTAATGGATAAAAAGGGTAACCTTTTAAACTATAATGCTTTTACATTAAAGATTTACTTGTCACCCCAAAGAGTTCTTCACTGTCATTAATGCAATACCTTCTGGCATAAAAATGCTGATGAGATGCTCTTAGTTAACCCAGTTCTTCCCACTTTATTCATTGGTGATATTCATTTTGAAAGTGCTCACTGTACTAACAGTGGTCGTCTTAAAAACATGTTATCCCTGTCAAATTAAAAATAAATTAGATCACACATTTAATAAGACAACTGTAAAATATCTTAGAACAGCTTATTTAAGTTTTCCAATTCCCCCTAAAGCAAAAGAAACACACTTCAAAATCTTAAATGAAATCTATCCTTCTAACAAATTCTTAAATCAAAAATGTTATATAGATATTGTCCCCTGTTCTTTCTGTAATAACCATCCTGAAGACACTGACCATATCTTCTTTACATGCAATTGGTCCAAAATCTTCTGGATAGTGGTTCAGGTCTGGTTGATAGAAAAGAAGGTGATGGTTTTGCTTTTTACTATATGGAATTCCCAAAGACTGCTGTGCTAACGTTTATTTGATTAATAACATTGTAATAATGGCAAAATTTTTCATACACAAATGTAGATTTTTTAATTCTTTCCCATTACTTGTTGTTTTCAAAAATGGTTTAATATGTTTTTCTAGAGCCCTTAAAAAAATGAGAGGTGGGAGTGCGATTAAGTTGCTTGATCTTTTGATTGCTTATGACTTTGCATTGCATTGCCCCTTAATTCTAAATTTAAACCTTTTATTTTAGTATTTTTTTGTGTTAATTTTAAGTTAATGTAAATTTTGATTTAAATTTTGATTTATTTTCTGTTAAACTGTGTTGAGCCTTTTACTCGTTATCCTTACGCATTGTAGAAAGAATATGTTTGCCTTGGTTGTATGTGTTTTTTGTATTAAAAAAAAATCAGTTCAGTCGCTTGCTGATCTAAAGGCGACAGTAAATAGTCCTGCCGCTTGTACTTAAAGGGATAGTTCACTATATATAGTCGATTAAGGCCGACAGCGCCAACTAGTGGTTGTGACCAACTAGTGGTAGTTGATGAAACCCCTTCTTCTCTTTTTCTCTCTGCTTCCCGCATACACACACCCATGTTCAACATGGCCTGGTTTTAAGCACTGTGTTCTTCTCTATATATTTAAGATGTCTCAGATGTAACAGTATATGGATCATCCCCTCCAAATGTAACTACAGGCTTAGGCTGCTGTGGTTTGCAAGCAGTTCTGGATAGTGAGGGTGGCGCATGTTTCCCTGTGATGTGTCTACAGTCTGTGGCTGAACTCTGAGCTCTAAGGGTTCCCTGATTTAGACACATGTAATTATCAGACGTTATATATACCCGCCCTGCCTCGCCCTTATGGAGGGTACCTTTTAGCTGGGATATTTCTGGCTTTCTATGGCAGTTGACCCACCCATTTGTGAGAGAGAGAGCTCTGAAAAATATACAGCATTGAGCATAACCTGCCAAGACTGGTCAAGCGAAGCGCTCTGAATGTGATTTGAATTGTCAGTCAAACCCTTCAGAGCTGAACCTTCATTGACAACCTTTACAAATTGAATCAGATCTCAGGCACCCTGCCTTAGCACTCAAAAGAGACCTACCACAGATCTCATTCGGCCTTCGTGCCCTCTCTCTCTCTCTCTTTCTATCCCTCTGTCATTATCAACCCTCTTTCCAATCTCTCCTCCTTTACTGTGGCCATACAACTCCACATGTGTCCTCTGTGTGATGGAGCTCAGGCTGTAATAACAAACACCAGTGATGAATGAGGGCTACTGGTGGCTTTTCACACCGACAATCTTTTCCTCCCAGTCTGTTACATGGACCACCAAACACTGGGTGCTTAATGTGGTCTAGATGATTCCAACTAGCACAGAAATCAAGCTATATATTGGTCAGATAAGGCTGGGTAGTTCCAAATACTTCCATTCTAGGAATACTGCAAACAGTAATTTAATCATGGCACAATGTTCTGCGTGATGGATGCGAATTGGTTTCACGCATCTTTAGACATTAAAGAGCAGTGCAGTGATTTGGATCCAAGAACTTGCAAAGCGGGACTGAATCAGTTATGCTCGATTTTTAATTTGCGATAAGAGTGTGCATGTGCGTTCATGCATATTTTCTTGTTCCCTTTTTTTGAACTGATTCCCACGTAAATGTCCACACATGCACACTCAAATCCATGGCCCAAATTGTTATAGGGCCATTAATCTGAACACTTGCATCATGCTTGACAATTAAGAAGCCAATCCATCACAGCCTAATCAATACCCTCTCACTCTGAGGTGCGGGGGTGTTTGTCCTAATAACTGTTTTGGGACTTGACATTTATCTTTCTATAACAAATTGTGTGCGCTGTGTGTGTACTTGTACACCGGCCGATTTGGGGTTCAGAGTAAGGACATTTTGGCTGGTCCTCACTTTCTGAGACCTATTTAAAGGCCTTTTTGAGGGACAAGACTTGGGGATTGGGTTAGGGATAAGATTATTATTAGGTTAAGGGTATAGGTTTATGGCAAGGGCTCAAGGTTAGGAAAAAAGGTACGAAAGCTGTCACTGGGGCGGTACCTTTTCAAAAAGGTACACTTTTGTACCTAAAGGGTGCATATTGGTACCATAATTGTACAAATATGTACCATGAAGGTACCAATATGCACCCTTTAGATACAAAAGTGTACCATGAAGGTACCAATATACACCCTTTAGGTACAAAAGTGTACCTTTTGAAAAGGTACCGCCCCAGTGACAGCTTTCGTACCTTTTTTTTCTGAGAGTGATTGCATTGCCAATGAAAATCCTCACAAAGATAGATGTACAATGTGTGTAGGGTGGGTAGGGTTAGAGTCAGGTGTGTGTGTGTGTGTGTGTGTGTGTGTGTGTGTGTGTGTGTGTGTGTGTGTGTGTGTGTGTGTGTGTGTGTGTGTGTGTGTGTGTGTGTGTGTGTAAGAGAGAGAGAGAGAGAGAGAGAGAGAGAGAGAGAGAGAGAGAGAGAGAGAGAGAGAGGGAGAGGGAGAGGGAGAGAGAGAGAGATTACAGATTTGTATTATATGATTTGACTGAGGCAACCACCTATAGGTGCAGATAAGGATGCTACCATATGTTTAGGATTGTGGTTAGGATCAGAATCAGGATCAGCCTCTGGGAAATTAATATTGATTGACCATTAATCTGAATATCCTTTAATGTCTATTGCTCAGACATCCACCAAAACACATTTACCAAACATGTTTTGCTTAATGTCAATAAAGAGGAATTAATTAAATTCCATATAAGGTTATTCAAATGGAGAGAAAGAAATCCTGCTAAAATAGCTGCTATTAATAATGCTTTCTGTATTGAATTATGATCAGTGAGTCATGACAACATGTTTTTACTATAATTTAACTCATCAAAAATAGGTTAAGCAACTTTCAACTTTCTTATGCAAGATTTAACTAATTTTAAGTCAGTTTAATGTAATTTAAGCAACTTGGAATGACATACATCTAATTTGACTGTACTTTGACTGTACTGACAGGTAAGTTGCTTGGTTATTTACAGAACAACACAATATATTTACAAGAAGACTGTTAAAGGTGTACATTTTATTTTTTTACCATCTGGTAAAGACACACATTCAGTTTGGACTGTCTGGTGAATTGCATGTTGATCAATACCATCACACAGAATTAAACACTGTAAAAAATTTAAAATGAGGTTGTAAACTAAACAAAGATTATTGGAATACATTTTACAAGAAAAAAATATTTCAGTCTATCTACTTTTCACGTTCAATTCAGTGTGTTACTTGCCACTTCTTTATAATTATTTCCAGCCATTTTTGAGTGAAAATGGTTTCAAAGTATTATGTACCCCTGTACCGTTTCTTTTCAGTGTATATTCTGTTTGTTGTTGTATAGTTTGTTATTTGTATGTTTACGCTTTATAAAGTGCCATGAGCTCTGACTAAAAGTATTACATATAAAAATAATCCCTATTATTAGTAGCATGACTTGCCATGTGATATCAACATGGCAGAACTCATGAGGGGGCGACCAGGGGCCTGTAAATGAATAAATAGCATATATAAAGGTCAAATAAATTTAAAATCAATTAGATGAACTTATAAAATGACTACACTTGAGTTTAAATATTCAATTATCTCTATACCATTATCAACTAAACTAACTTCACAACTTTTACCTGCACTGATATACAGTAGCGAGACTTTTGATTTAGTTGTCCTCTTTCATAGACAGCTATTTTCTTCTTGCTGTGAGAATTTGTTTAAATTCTTAAAATTGTAATACTTTTATTAAATAAATAAATTGAGAAATGAATTTCAATGAGTTTTGAATGAGTTTCCCAGCAAGATTGGCTGTTTAGGCTACTTACTCCTATTCTCTGGATCAAAACCTGAGTTGACAGAGAAAGTTGATGATCAGCATTATGGTACCAACAAAGCCTGGTTAGGTTTGGTTTTGTCAACTTGAAACTAAACTACAACCTGTTTTTACGCATGATGTTGACCAAGTCATGAGCTCTCTCTCTCTCTCTCTCTCTCTCTCTCTCTCTCTCTCTCTCTCTCTCTCTCTCTCTCTCTCTCTCTCTCTCTCTCTCTCTACACTCTCTCTCTCTCTCTCTCTCTCTCTCTCTCTCTCTCTCTCTCTCTCTCTCTCTCTCTCTCGCCACCCTCGGTACAGCAGCTGATGCTGATGCAAGTACACTCATTCTGACTCTCCCATCCTGAGAGGACACACTGTCACCAGCGCCTCCCTTATCTTTTATGAACTTTGAACAGCGCGTTATAGGATAGTCAGCGGCGTTTCGTCTCTTTTATTCTCAATGAAGATATGACAAAGGCAACCACTCACGAAAGGAATAAATTACAGTGACGGTGATCAATTGAGGTGACGTGCATGGACACTAGATCAGTTTGATCTTTTGCAGGACACACAGAGTTCTGAGTCCAAAGAGGAAGCGAGAACCGTGTGCATTCCGTATAGCTCAAACAGAGTCAAACGGGAACTGACGGTCTTTTTACTACAGATCGTGTGCTACTTAAGAGCAAAGAGAGGTGGATGAAGACTATTTTATTTAGAGATACATGTCAATACAAAACATCGCTGAAGTCCATCGTTAACAATAGAGGGGAATTCACTGACGGTGCGCTGCATTGAATTTGGAAGGTCAGTTGTCAACTTAAACTGAAGGATCGTTGTCTGTCTGTGAAGTTTTGAATTACGGTCATTTTAAAAGGATAAGAAGGCTACCATACCAGTGAGTCGCAGAAAATAATTATATTTTTAAAAATGTATTTTATTTTACTGTAAAATATCTGCTAGTAAAAGTAAAACTTAGTTATGTTGTTTATAAAGAAAACATTCATTTTAACTGTAGCTACATGTTGTTAAAATAAAGTTACAATGTATGAAATATCAAGACCAAGGTCATAGGGTTGATTCCAGACTCAAGTAAATATAGGCTATAGCCCTAAATGCATTGCTATGAGCGTCTTCCAAATGTAAAAAGGTTTTATTTAAGAAGACAACCCATCAAACCAAACAAACTTGCATTTTACTGTAAAATGAGTTTCAAGTTATAGGCTACATTGGGTTGGTTTTATTGATATGTTTTTCAGTTTGTTTACTGTATTACAGTAAACCTATGATAGATGCAAGATCTCAAGAAAAGTCTGTTATAGACCGCTTCATCTGGAAAGCATCAGCTGTTTACTAACATCTGATAGACATCATTAAGATATCAGTTTTACATCCATTCTAATCATAAACATCTTAAAGACAATTTCTAAACGTCTATTGGACATCTGAGGAAACGTCCATGTATGCAGATGAGCCAACATTCAAACAAATACATCTTTTAGATGTAAACAACACACACATCAAATAGACATCTCTGTGACGTGCACTATCTGGGTAGAAGCTAACACTTAAAATACCTAATAATGCTTGAAACGTCTTTTTTTAAGGTTCTGTCAACCTTGGCATCCAAAATTGTAGGCCTGGCCTACAGTTTTATTGTAGACAAAACAATGACGCTTTTTGTGATATATTTGAAGAGTAGCCTACGTCTTTAATAACGTGTTAAAAAAGAAAATGTTTTATCGACGCACAGCGACCGATAAAATGACCGAATCATCTGTTTCTATGGTTTCTATGGCTTCACCCAAAAGCGATTTCTATTCACAACGAGCATATTGTGCAATTTGATTAATTTATATAATGTAACTTTGTAGTTAAGATGTGAAAACATTGTTGAAACTTAAGAGCTACCCATGCATACAGTCCCTTTTTGGGGGTTCAAGGTTAGAGCATACTTGTCAGATGTCGAATAGACGTTTAGAAAATGTCTTGAAAGATGTTTATGATTTAGAATGTACAGTATGTATAGCTGACATCTTAAAGACGTCTATACATATTAAACAGCAGATGCTTTCCAGATGAAGTGATCTTTAATAGACATCTTGCAGATGTACTGCTATCTGGGTAATGTAGCCCCCCCCCCCCCCTCCACTGATCTATAATGGCATTCTACTGTATATAGATCAGTGTTCCCTCCCCTCCTCCCCCATTCAAATGCTAACCATGATTTTACTAATTTCTTATATGAGAAATTTCTTATATGAGTTAATATGGGACAATTGTGGCACTTATTATATATATATATATATATATATATATATATATATATATATATATATATATATATATACACTGTATTTTATGTAATTTCTATTTTATGTCATTTCACTGTAATTTCTTATATGAGAAATTTCTTATATGATTTAATATGGGACAATTGTGGCACTTATTATATATATATATATAGAGGAGAGGAGAGAGCGATGCCACTGGCTCACAGATGGGGCAGGGCAGAGTACCTGTAAAGGTGGGCCAGTTGCGATGATCACATCGTTTTTGCATATCTTTTTCTGGTTGACCCAGTGACTACTTGGAAAGACAAGATGGCGACCGAGGAAGAACGGTGACAGCTAGGAAAGACTGCTGACATTTGGGAAAGACCAAAGCTGGGGTGTGGAGGTTTGGCAGGCCGAAGCACAACCTTCGCGAGGAGGGACCCATTGCTAATCGCTATGGAAAGGTACATTATAAGATACCCCCAGGGTCGAGCGAGAGCGGGGGAGGATGATCGGCCCACAGGACAGACCTTTGTTATGACCACTCACGATGGACTTTCGACTATGGAGCAGGTAAACGATGTATCACGGGTCTGCAGATGTGGTAAGATATGTAAAAACGGGAGGGGTCTGAAGATACATCAGTCAAAGATGAAGTGCGTGCAGCCGGAACATAATGTGCAACGCACAGGGAAACCTGGTGAGACGGAGGAGAGGCCGGGGCAGGAGGCAAACCACAGTTCCCCGAATCTCCAGGCACACGATGAAGATGGGAGTAGGAACGGCATCACTGATGTGTCAGAGGACACAAAGCACCAGACAGAGATGGAGGGTTCACAGGACATTAGACGACCTGGACAGGACATATGGGTAGGAGTGGCCCGAAAGGAATTAGTGAACTGGCCCGCTGCAGCGGCGAGGAAGGAGTGGGAGAGGTTTGATCACGATGTGGATGAGGTGCTGGAAACAGCCTTGGCAGGAGATGTGGGCAAGAAGCTGAAGGCTATGGCTTCCATTATTTGGAGCATAGGCGCTGATCGCTTCGGAAAGAAAGAGCCGAAGGCTAAAACAAACACCCAGCCAAAGGAAAGCAGACGCTTGAAGGAAATAGCAATCCTTAGAGGGGATTTGCGGAGGCTGAGGAAGGCATTTCGTGAAGCAGCAGGGGATGAGAGACCAGCACTCAAGGAAATCCGTGACAACTTGAGGGAGCGCATTAAGATCTTGCGAAGAGCTGAATGTCACCGTAGGGACAGGAAGCGACGAATGAAGGAGAGGACAGATTTCACCAAGAATCCCTTCAAGTATCTGACAAAACTTCTGGGCGACGTAAGATCAGGGGAGTTGAAAGCAACAAAGGAGGAGGTGGAGGAGCACCTTCGTCAGGTCCACAGTGACCCCAGAAGGGAGGACAGCCTGGAGGAGATGGAGAAACTCATACAACCAGCAGAACCAGCTACCCCCTTTAGAGCTGAGGAACCGAGCTGGCAGGAGGTGAACACCTTTCTAAGGAAGGCCAGAGCAAAATCAGCCCCAGGGCCGAATGGCATTCCATATAAGGTGTATAAGTATTGTGAAAGGCTCAAGAGACGACTTTGGAAGCTACTAAGAGTTGCATGGAGGAAGGACTTCCTTGCTGATAGCTGGCTGGTCGCTGAGGGATGCTTCATCCCTAAGGAAGAAAACTCTATAGGGATCAAGCAATTCCGTACCATCTCACTCCTTAACGTCGAAGGAAAGATTTTTCTTGGGATTTTGGCGAAGAGACTGACCACCTTTATGGTGGACAACGGGTACATGGACACATCTGTCCAAAAAGGGGGAGTTCCAGGGGTGGCAGGCTGTCTTGAGCACACCAGTATGATCACCAAGATTATCGAAGATGCAAAGAAGAACCGTGGTGACCTCGCAGTCCTGTGGCTGGACTTAACAAATGCATTTGGAACGATACCCCACAAGCTGGTGCATCTGACGTTGAAGACCTACCATGTCCCAGAGCGATTCCAGAAGCTCTTGCAGCGTTATTATGATAACTTCAACATGCGCTTCTCCTGCGGAGACTTTACCACAGAATGGCAGAGGCTAGAGGTGGGCATTGTCACTGGATGCACAATCTCAGTGATTTTGTTTTCAGCAGCGATGAACCTTCTCGTTAAATCAGCAGAAAAGTTGCGTCGAGGCGCAGTGTTGGCGAGTGGCATCCAACAGATACCTATAAGAGCATTTATGGACGACCTCACCATCACGGCAAAATCAGTACCTGAAGGGAGATGGATCTTGGAGGATCTGGTTGAACTCACCGATTGGGCAAGGATGGATTTCAAACCAGAAAAGTCCAGAAGCCTGGTATTGAAGAAGGGGCGCATCCAGGACCGGTTCCGCTTCAAGATCAAAGATACCATCATCCCAACGGTCCTAGAGAGACCGGTGAAGAGCTTGGGGAAATGGTATAGGGCAGACCTCAATGATAAGCAGAGTGTGAGGGAGATGATTATCCAAGTAGATACCTGGATGACATCCTTAGAGAAGAGTGGCCTACCTGGCAAGTATAAGGCCTGGGGTTACCAACACGGGGTACTTCCTAGGCTGCTCTGGCCATTGCTTGTTTATGAGGTACCTATCTCTACCGTTGAGGGATTGGAGAGGAGGATTAACACCTATTTGAGGAGGTGGCTGGGCGTCCCAAGAAGCTTCTGCTCCATTGGCTTGTATAGCACAGGCAGCAAGTTGCAGCTTCCAGTGACATCAGTGGTCGAGGAGTATAAGGCGACAAAGACACGCCAGGCCATGATGCTGCGTGACAGCAAAGACGAAAGAGTACGCCAAGCAGGCATTGTTGTCAGGACAGGTCGTAAATGGTCAGCCAGCAGAGCATTGACCGAGGCTGAGGATCGACTGCATCATGCTGACATCGTTGGGACAGTAGCTGTGGGCAGGCTTGGACTGGGTTGCTCCACCAGAATAAGCTGGAAAAAAGCTGACCCAAAAGAACGTCGTGGCATGGTGCAGAGGGAGGTCCGTAAAGCAGAGGAGGAAACCCGGCATGTCAAGGCTGTTGCCATGAAGAAACAGGGCAGTTGGACAAGATGGGAGGGCGTGCGAGAAAGGGCCCTGACGTGGCAGGATATCTGGAATATGGAAGGACGTCAGATAAAGTTCTTGATGTGTTCTGTCTACGATGTCCTGCCTACTCCATCAAACCTCCATATTTGGGGTATAGCAGAGAACCCCAGCTGCACGCTGTGTGGAAAGACAGCCAATCTTGAGCACGTCCTTTCCGCATGCCGGTCAAGTTTGGCAGACGGGAAATTCCGGTGGCGTCATGATAAGATCCTGTCTCGGTTGGCGGATGGTGTGGAACAGGCAAGGAAGAATCGTAAACCGCCTCCTGATGGGCTCCACTTTATCCATTTCGTCCGGACAGGAGAGAGCACTGCAGCAGTACGGAGGAGTAGAGGGGTCCTGGCCTCAGCAAATGACTGGGAGATGCGGGCAGACCTGAAAAAGCAGCTCAAATTCCCGGAGGAGATTGCACTCACTAGCCTCAGACCAGATATTGTACTGTGGTCTAGAGGTACCAAGCAGGTGGTACTCATAGAGTTAACTGTACCCTGGGAAGATAGGATGGAGGAGGCGCATGAGCGCAAGCTCAAAAAATATCAAGGCCTTATCCTCGAGAGCCAGCAAAAAGGATGGAAGGCCTGGAATCTACCAGTAGAGGTCGGCTGCAGAGGTTTTGCGGGACAGTCACTCTGGAGAGCACTCGGAGTGCTGGGGATTGAAGGGATGGCCAGGAAACGGCTAATAGGCAGTGTCACTGAACAGGCGGAAGCAGCATCAAATTGGATCTGGATACAGCGGGAGGTGCGGTGGCAGAGCAAACCTGTTGAAGGACTAAAAACACAGTAGAGTTGGGTGGTGGTCAGCGGGGTAGATCCAGGACGCTGGATCTGCTGTCGAGCCCTCCCGAGGTGTTATGGGCTTAAATCGACGAAACACCAAGGAAGGGGGGTGCCCATCTGATGACCGGCTGTAACCACCTAACTCTTGCAGTGTTGAGAGATGTAGCCCTGAGCTGGCCCTGGGAGAAGGTTGGTGCTTGGAAGGAGAGGAGAGAGCGATGCCACTGGCTCACAGATGGGGCAGGGCAGAGTACCTGTAAAGGTGGGCCAGTTGCGATGATCACATCGTTTTTGCATATATATATATATATATATATATGAAGAGTTCAGATGCAAAAGCCTCTAAATGCCATTTGAAATTTTCTTCTTTAATGATGATTTTTGTCAAACGTGTATATTTAAGTTCAGTAATTTCACTTAAATAACATTTAATAGGTAATTATCATTGCCATTTAAGTGAAATCACTGAACTTAAATATACAAGCTTGATAAAAATGATCATTCTAGAAGAAAATTTCAAATGGCACTTAGAGGCTTTTGCATCAAACTCATATATATATATATATATATATATATATATATATATAATAAGTGCCACAATTGTCCCATATTGAATCATATAAGAAATTTCTCATATAAGAAATATAAAAAATACAGCATATATATATATATATATATATATATATATATACTGTATATATATATATATATATGCTGTATTTTTTATATTTCAACACTTTGATTTTGATAGGCTTATAGCTTTTTGGTCAGTCTCACAATTTTTGTATTCAGTGCTTTGAGATTATTTTTAACTGTAAAAACAAATTAAAAAGTATACATTTATAAATTACAGATGTACAGGTGTACAATTCTTCCAACAATAAGTGATGAGTTCTAGCGTAAGCACTCGTGGTGACTCGGTCATTAAGGTTAGGCTACACAACTTGTTTGAGGCGCGCCTCAGCAGGGCTTTTAAGGTGGTTAAGTTGTTTATTATTTGTGTTACAGTGTGGTCAGCGTGATAACCGCACATAATCGGGTCTCCTCATACCGAGAAGCTAGTCTGGCTGGAAACCTCGCCTTGGACGCGCTGGGGAAATAGATCCCTGACATGAGCGACTAACACTATCGACAAACAACAACACACATCGGCGGATAAACCGCACTGATCCCTGAGTGACCACCTGTTCCCTGCACAGACCAACCGGTAAGCGCTTAACTTTACTGAGGGACAATAGCATACAAGAGAATGCTGTTTGTAGCCTATACGTCTCCAAAATGTTTATCAGATGTCTCTTCATGTGAATATTGCCGTTTGGGCGACCGCTATATTCAAAGCGCATTAGATATTAAAGAGTGCTGCAGGGGTCTTGGAAATCTTTTAGCCATAGAGTTATCATGCTTTATTATCCAATCACTTTATAATGTAGTTTAAAGAGTTGAATGATTGTTAAAAAGAGCGCAGAATCACAAACAAACGAGGTAGGCTACTTCGAGGATTCAAATCCACTTTCTCTTCTTTCATTCAGACTTTATCTCAGTCACCCGTTCCCCTCATCTCTTGCTCAGATTATTTTCCTGTAGCCCAATCCAACGCGGATTCTTCTCATATGGACCAGCGTTACGCAATTGGTAACACTTGGATGTAGTTTTAGGCGCGCGTAACCTACGTGTGTTTTGTGTCGAGCAAATTCCAGATTATTGAGAAATGGAATTAACGTGGGTTTGTGATGTGTTGGTTATACATTTTAAAAATAGATTTTTTTTCTTATTGTTTCTTTTCTCTTATTATTATGAGAGTAATTGCTTTGTATTGTCATTCCTAAAATGTCTTGCTCAGGAATTATTAGTCACAGAACATTTTCCAGTTATGCTAGATATTTTGTCCTGTGCGTGTCCTTGCTACACTGCCAACAATACACACACACAGACACATAATAATAACAATAATTTGACCAACACACCCAAACAAGCAGGGAGAGACATACTTAATGACCAATTATACGGCCAGATGCCTTTCTAACCCTTGTTTGGTTTGAAGGAACATCATCCCAAGAATATCTATGATGTCAGAGTTGTGACGTTACGTTACTGGCAGCAGAAGGGGGGAAATATTAGACTAATGCTTTTAAAAAAACCATCAGAAAAATACTCAAGCACTGGTAAAATATCTTTTTTGCTATTTTATTGTTTTACTTTCTTTCAATCGTTTGTTTGGAAGTAAGTACATTTCAGTCCTTTCGAACGTGCCTTCATTGCTATTATCCATGATAAAGTTGAGTGCAGGTTTTGTTGCATGGGCTGATACTGTATATAGAGTGAATGATTCTGTTCTGTATATAACTGTCTTTCTTCAGAAGAACACAAAAACTTTTAGATTTTTAGAGTCCACATAACGCAAGTGGATTGATCCCTCAAATTTGATGCTTCAAAAACCATTCAAAACAAACGATAATCCATATGAGCCCAGTAATCAATATCTTCTATCTAATTTGAAAACTTGGCTGAGAACTGAATGAGCTGGAAGATCACATCACTGGTCATCACGGGATCACAGAGCTGCTTTATAGATGCAGTTAACTAATAACTGATGATCTTTACAATGGAACTGAATCAAAATGGAACTGACTTTTCTGACACATTCCTTTTTTTATTTTACAACTGCTGTGCTGCCAAAATGAACTGTTTGCATTGTTGAATCATTTTCCTGTCACTGTAAAGCTGTTTTGAAACAATCTGTATTATTATATCTAAAAATAAAGGTGACTTCACTTGTGAAACTTGCATGGGAAGTGACAGTCCTCTCTGCTTCCAAATCACTTCCTCACAAGTTTCAGAAATTGCTGATAACACGCTTTGCAATGTGTTCACAGTAATGTCAAGCGAACGCATGTTTGACAGTTGGCTGGAAGCAGTGGTTTATAGTTTAAAAACTTCAGAATTGATTCATCAACTGGGGTCATATGGGGTCAGATTACAGTTGTGTTTTGCATGTTTTGTATGGTTTTTGAAGTGTCGGCTTGGAGGGGCCTATCCATTTGCCTATTATATACTGTAGAATCACGGAGATTAATTATTTTTTCTAAAAATCTCAGGCATGACGCCTGGGTGCGTGAATGAGAGAATTTTAATTTTTCGGTTGAGTATCTCTTTAAGAAAGGAGATAACTTCCTGTCGCCTTTCGAGCTCTGATCAATACTGAAGTCTTTGTTGAAACATGGGGTGGTGATGACGCAGTGGGCAAGACACATGCCTTTTTTTTCTGAGAGACCCGGGTTCGAATCCACTGTGAGACATGTGTCCCTGAGCAAGACACTTAACCCCTAGTTGCTCCAGAGGCGTGCAACCTCTGACATATATAGCAATTGTAAGTCGCTTTGGATAAAAGCGTCAGCTAAATGAATAAATGTAAATGTACATGCAAGTGTAAGTAAGTACACCAATCACATTTAAGTGAGCGAAAATGGCGCCTGACTCGGCAACTGGCAGGCTGTGTTGAACGCCAATGCCTCAGAATCTTTCTCCTTTAGACACTTGCTCAGACAACTCTACTGATGCAAAGTCAAGTGAATCGAACTCGAAAGAGAATGTCTCTGGTTACTCAATGTAACCTCGGTTCTCTAAGATGAGGGAAAACATTTTTAAACATCTTTGAAACTGCTGTGTCACATTGCTCAGAGTATCTTATGAGCTCCACTCTAGCTTTAGTCGACAGATTCTGAGTCAATGGCATTCAGTGTCTTAGCTGCTGTTTTTACACAGTTGAACGCCATTGGCCAGGGTACTTCAACTGCCGTGATTCAAGGCTTCAGTATTTGGCAAGAATGGAGTTTCCCCATAGCGTCAGCCACTGAGACAATGTTTCATAACCTCATCCCTGGGAACCGATTTTATGTTGAGGAACCATAGATGTTTCAGAAGGAAATTAATTAAATACAAGAAAGAAAACTGGGCAGGGTTTAGTATACTAAACTATTTAAATGTATCTTATTATGATACTTGTCAACCTGCTCACTGGAAAAATGTGCCTTTACCTAAATTTTGGCAAAACTCCAACAATTTGCAGCAGTTTCCATCTGAAATGACTACCAGTGACAGTAAAGCCCGGAACACACCAAGCCGACGGTCTGGCAGATTTTGTGCGTCGGCCAACTAAGTTTCCTCAGTGTGTTCCGCACGGTTCTGTGCCGTCGGCTGAAAATAATCATCGTCGGCTTTGTTTCGCCCGATTCGACATGTTGAATCGGCGTCGGGCCGTTGGGGAAAGAGAGAACTCTGATTGGCTGTTCAGCTTAGTGGAAGAGTCAGCACGAGAATAAAAGCCAAACAGCAAGCAAATAAGTCAAAATGGTAAAGATAGAAGGCTGTTCTTATGTTACGTCTTCTTACCTGAGTGTTCCTTGGCGAATATTTCAATATTAACATGAGCGGAGTGGAATGAAGAAAGTGTTTAGCAGGACTGATATTCAAAACGGTAAGCACGCGCTGCTTTGTTATGTGTATCTGCAGCCGGTAGCGTCGGTTTTCCTTCCTGAATGATGAATATAGACTAATATATCTGCAGAAATAGACAGTTGTCTCATTTACATGCAGGCACAGAACGCACATTCTAGCTGACAGTCGGCTGCAGTTCTCTCGGTGTGTTCATGTGCAGCTTTTTACCTCGACGAGAGCGGACGAGAGGCAACAACACAGTCGGCGCTAGTCATCAGCGCTAGTTCGTTGGCGTCGGCTTGGTGTGTTCTGGGCTTAAATGACGAACAACTTTTATTCTTGTTCACACAAATTTTGATTACAGGGGAAGATTGTTGTTAGCTAACATCATTCATGAGTAAAAAGCAATGTCATCGACATCTTCCCAGTTAGCTTGGGTTGTTTGTAGTGGGTTGAAATATGTTTTCCAAAATGAACGAAGGCTAAAAGTTTCTCAAGCTACTCTGCTATTTATTTGAGACTGCAAGCTTTTTCTGGTCCAGGTCACATTTTTTATTTATATGGTAAGTGTGCCAGGAAGTATGTCTTATTTGACCTGCGGGATTGGTGGTTGGAGTGAGCGAGGGGAAGAGGTAATTAAAATAGATGGGTTGAGGAAATTGAGATTGGCTAAGAGAGCCTAACGTTATGAAATCACTTGTCAAAACCAGCACTGTCATTACTCATATTCGTGTGATAAGCGAGGCACCAGGTTATGTGTGGTGACAACCATGGTGTTGTTGAATGTTTTGTGTTTGTAATAGAAACAGGAAGGTTTACTTATGGTTGTGATAAAATCTTAAAATCACAAATCAATCTAATGAGGCAAAGTGGAAAACAGAGCTGTATAATCCATATCTGATGGCATTTAAACTGGTTTTATGACACAGACCCTTACAGAGGTATTTGCTTCTTTGTGGTGTAGATTAAACCTAATTCTGTGCCAAATCCCTTATTTAATTACTAGTGACAGTTTAATTGCTGTTTCTATTCAAGCCCTGAAATCCAAAGGTTAAATGAGCATTTTCTGAAGATGTGTCAGTTTTATGAATGGAATTAGTTGGTTTAGCTAAAAGCCAATGTTTCTGCTTGAAAATGTTTGTTCATTACCTCAAAAACCTTTTCTAAATATCACAGTATATACTTACAAAAGAGTGGTAAGATCATTAATACCTCGTGCAGAATCCGCAGGGCAAACATCTTTACTCCGAGGAGAGACATCACCTGACTCCTCAAACAGGAAAATTGTCACATTCTGGAATGTACTGACTGGTGTCAAACATGCAGAATCAGTAGCTGAATCATTTCAACTAAGTTGTTGATTGTTACAGTTTAGTTTGCATTTTATATATTATTTACAGTAATCCTACTTAAAGGGATAGTTCACTCAAAAATTAAAAATTACTTGCCCTCATGGTGGTGATTGCAACTTCCTGAGCAAAAGATTGAATCCTGTTCAGTTAGTTTTTTAAAGCTACACTGTGTAACTCGTTTAGTTTATTATTATCTAAAACACAAAAATATATGTGCTCATTAATGTATATTTACTTCGTTCAAGTAATAAAGTATTCTCGTGATTGTATAATATGCCATTGAAAATACCTACGGGTAAGGGGTTCTAATGTCGGTCGCCATGTTGCCCCTCCATCTTGAATGTACATTAGCCAAAGAGGGACATACCCGTTAATTCAAGCTTCGCCTTTCGCGTTTACATTTGAGTTAACACTCATGGAC